ATAGGAGAAAAATGGATGCAGATTATGTCAAAGCGGGATTTTCTTTCTGGGCATAAAGTGCAGAATCTTGAAATCTACAAACATTGTACTTTTGGGATGTTTTATCGTAGCAAGTTCCCAAAACAGGGTGTTCATCAAACCAATGGGACTCTTGACTACATCTATATGGATTGTTGGGGCCCGTCACGTGTTGAGTCTACTGGTATTTTGTGTCTATGATTGATGACTACTCAAGGATGACTTGGATAATTATAATGAAGCATAAAAGTGAAGCATTCAATAGGTTCAAACAGTGAAAGACCTTGGTAGAAAATTAGACTGGGAAGAAGATCAAGAGGCTACGAACTGATGATGGTCTAGAATTATGTTTGTCTGAGTTTAATGAGTTTTGTAAAGATGAAGGGATTGCCCGACATCACACCATTAGAGATACACCGCAACAAAATGGTGTGGCAGAACACATGAATTAGACATTACTGGAGAGAGCGAAATGCATGCTCTCTCATGATGGTTTGGCTAGAAAGTTCTGGGTAGAAGCTGTAAACACAACATGTTATCTGATCAACCATGGACCCCACACTAGCATTAATTGCAAGACACCTTATGAGGTATGGTCTAATAAACCTGCAGATTATTCATTGTTGAGAGTTTTTGGTTGTACTGTTTACTATCATGTGAGTGAGGGTAAATTAAAGCCAATAGCTAAGAATGGTATATTTGTTGGTTTCAGGGATGGAGTTAAGGGATATAGAATATGACCACCTTCTGAGAATAAGGTTATACTCAATAGGAATGTGATATTTGATGAGAATTCTATGCTTAACCCTATTGTGAAGTTCATTGGTGTAGAGAATTGTAGTAGTGTTGATAAACAGGTGGAGCTGCAATTCGCTTTCAAGAAAAGTGCATCATAACTCCAGGGTGGAGAAAATAAACATACTATTGTTGAAAATACTATATTTGAAAGCACTATTTTAGATGTTCCGGATGCTCCTACTTCTGAAAATACTATATCTGAAAGTACTAGTTCAAATGTTCTAGATGCTCACCAAAGTACCAATTCAGATGTTCCGGATGCTAGCCAGACAAGCATAATTGTTGATAGAGCAAGGAGGAGAGACGTGAAGCCTCATTCGACATTTGGCTTTGAGGATATGGTGAATTATGTCTTACAAGTCGCTGATGAGGTGGAAGATGAACCATCCACATACAAGGAAGTTGTTTAATGTAGTGAGTTTTCTCATTGGTTCGTTGCAATGAGAGTAGAGATGGAATCACTTCTCAAGAATGACATTTGGGAGTTGGTCAAACGGCCTAAGGATAAGAAAATTGTTACTTGTAAGTGGATCTTTAAGAAGAAGAAAAAAGTCACACCGAGTGAGGGTATCAGATACAAAGCTTTGCTAGTTGCAAAAGGGTTCTCGCAGAATGAGGGGGTTGACTATAATGAGATTTTCTCACCAATGGTCATACACACTTCTATCACAGTGTTACTAGCAATGTTTATACATCAAAATTTAAAACTTGAGCAACTGGATGTGAAGACTACATGGAATGCTAGAAGATGATATCTATATGGAACAACCAGAGGGGTTCGTTGTTCGTGGGAAGGAAGATTATGTTTGCAAGTTGAAGAAGTCTGTATATAGACTAGAGTAGTCTCCAAGGCAATGGTATAAGAGGTTTGATAGTTACATGATCCACTTGGGTTATAACAGGAGTCCATACGATTGTTGTCTATATTACATCAAAGTTGATGATGGTTCCATGATCTATCTTGTTCAGTATGTTGATGATATGCTCATAGCTACGAAGTCCACTTCTGATATTCAGAAACTGAAGGATCTGCTCAGTTCTGAGTTCGATAAGAAGGATTTGGGCGTTACCAAGAAAATTTTGGGCATTGAGATATATAGCAAAGAGAAAAGAAGAAGTTTTTCTTGTCACAGAAGAGCTATATTTAGAAGTTTTTGTCCAGATTTGGCATGTTTACAGCTAAGCCTATTAATACTCCAAGCGCTGCAAATATTCATCTGTCATCTGATTATGCACCACAATCAGTAGCTGAGCAGGAGTACATGTCTCGAGTTCCATACTCTAATGCAGTAGGGAGTCTGATGTATGCTATGGCCTGTACTAGACCTAATCTCGTACATGATAGTGTTGTGAGTAAGTTGATGGGACGACCGGAAAGGGAGCATTGGCAAGCTGTAAATAGGATTTTCCGATATCTTAGATGTAAGTTTGATGTTGGTCTCATTTATGGAGGTGATACTTGTTGTTCTATTACATGATATTCAAATTCTGATTATGTTGGAGATGTCGACACTAGAAGATCTATGACTGGTTACTTTTTCACTCTTGGTGGTTCTGTTGTTAGTTGGAAGACAACTTTGTAGGCTACAGTGACTTTGTCCACCATTGAAGCAAAGTATATGGCGCTGACAGAAGCTGCTAAGGAGGGAATCTGGTTAAAAGGACTAGTTGGTAATCTTAGTCTACATTATGATCAAGCTGTTGTATATTGTGATAGCTTGAGTGCAATCTGTTTAGCCAAGGATTAGATCCATCACGAGAGGACCAAACATATTGATGTGAGGTATCATTTTTTTAAGAATGAAAAGAGAGTCAAAGTGATGAAAGTAGGAACTGCTGATAATCCTGCTGATATGTTCACCAAATCGGTCCTTCATAGCAAGTTTCGACATTGTTTGGACCTTCTAAGTGTCACAAGCTGGTAGTTGCCCGATGGGGGGCAAATCTAAGGCAGAATGGAGGAGTATGTTCATCTAGCGTTGTAATGATGCATATGAAAGTGAAATTCAAGTCAATGTGGAAATTTGTTGATATGTCTTGCATCTAGTTTGTCACTTAGCTGAGTTTTCACGGAGTTGGTATTGGGTTGAGCCCGTCTGATGTATTCTCTTGGTTTATTTAAAGAAACTTAGGGATACGAAATCTGTAATCTATAACTTTTCTGTCGTGAATAAATCTGTTTTCCATTTCTGTCCATGGATATAGCCAACATGTTGTTGGTGCACCACGTAGATCTATGTCATCTTTACGTTTTTTATTTGTTATTCTATTATTAACTCTAATTCGTCACAATAATATGTTATTTGAATTTGTTAATATTCATATTTGAAATCAAATTTTAAAAATATTAATAATCTATTTAATAAATTCCTTTTATTTAGAATAGAATAATTAATTCCTTGTAGAATTTTATTTAAGAATTTCTAGTTAATAACTAATATTGGAATACTATGTTTTTTTTTATATGTTTCATAACATAGAGATTTGCAAATGACCATTAGGGTTTTGAAGGTCTATGAGTTTTTTTTTTTTTTGTCTAAAATATTTTGAATTTCTTTCTTTTATGTTTGTAATATTTCATTGCTTATTTGCATGGATCTAGCTTTCGTTTGAAATGTTTTTATTTACAAATCTTTTATTGTAAGAAGATTTATAATATATATTTTTTCTATCCCAAAGTGTATTTGGAATTTTGGTGATTTTTTTTTTTAATAATTTCTCTATTTATAAAATCTTCTTTTAAAATAGTGGGTTTATTATTATTTTTCTTTTATGAAGACATGATTGTTTTTCTTTTGAAAACATAATTTTTTTTTTTTTTTGTATTAGATTTATTTGCCTAAAATATAGAAGAATTTAAAAGTAAAGATAATTATTTTTCGTTTTTATTGATTTAAATACTTGAAAATTATATATATTTTTATAATATTAGTACAAATGTCTTGACTATGTACAATAAATTGATAGATTTGATTTAATTTAATTTAATTTTTTAAAAAAGTTTCAAAATCATATCTCGACAAATATAGCTAATTATAAAAAATATAGTTTTAAAGCAATATTCATTATCATATATATATATTAGTAGATATTTTGTACATAATTTTTAAAGTGAGCTTTAATAATTATTTATTAGTTTTGTCACAATATTTTGTTGGAATAAAATATATTTTTATACAATTCTGGTATATTCCATTATCAAATAATCATTGCATGTCATTTTTTAAAATTAATTTTTTTTATAGCATGTGTAAATATTGAAAATTGGACAAATTTGTGTTCCAAATTTTTTTAATTTATTTTTATGTTGAACCGGGCCGTGTCCGGACTCATGAAGATGTACCGTGTTTGGCCCGGCCCGGTTTGTAAAATTAATATTTAGGTTTTAAAAAATTTATATACTACGTCCATCTTAAAATAATAATTTTATTGTCATTTTTATCCGTTCCAAATCAATAATTCTATTTTCATTTTTGTAACTAACTTTCCACTTTTACAAAATTATCCCTACATTTTTCATAATAATTTATATAAAATAGTATGTTGATATTTTAAAAATATTTTACACTCACTGTCAATATAATACTATTATTTGTTGATTCTCGTGCCAATTCCAAATGTCCATTGAGACGGAAGGAGTATATATTTATATTTTAAATAAATACCAAAATTACAACATTGTCGGGTCGTGCAAATCAGGCCCGATTTAAAATCAGGTCAGTTCGATCCGGCATGAAAAAATCGGACCGGTCCGAATTACCACAACAAATTATATGTTGCACCATACAGCATCAATTTCCATCAGAACGGACACATACACGATCTTATTCAATGGAGATCAAATGTCACATTAAAAATTATACTCAGATGCCTCAGGTCACCTGTCACGGATGGTTGGCCTAATTTACAGGATTTCCACGTCCTTAAAAAAAATTAATAATTTTTTTACACTAAAATGATAATTGATTATTTTTTCAATAAAATTATTTTTATATTTTTAATTAAAAAAAAATATCACTATTCAATTCATAATTCTAATAAAAAATAATATTATGTTTCTATTTAAACCAAAACTCAGATAAATATTCCACTCAAATTATTTTTTAAAATTACAAACGGTTAATTCCTCTACGTCCCGTAATTAGGAAGAAGAAAAAAAAAAACCCTAATAGTAACCGCCCAACGCCAAAAAGCTCCGCCGCCTATGCATAACACTTACCACCACACCCAAACCCAAACCCAAACCCAAACCCGCGCCAAATCCTTCAGGCCACCGGTAGCACTTCTCTCGATAGCCTTCTCTATCGCTCTCAATCGAATCGGTTGTTGCGAGGAGATTTTCCGCGTCTTCCGTTGCCGACTTCATCCTCGTCTTCTGCCGCCGCGCCGTATTCGACTTCCTCAGGTTCGTCTTCGTTCTTATTCAAGTTCATCTTTGTTAATTTTTTCATTTTAGTGCAATATTGTAGTTTTCTAAACTGATTCTTTTTTTTTTTCTTCCTGTTTTTGCCTTTCATTGGATTGATTTGATGAATAGCTATCAATTCTATTTTTTCAGTCCTTAACTGAGTAAAAAGAAAGAAGGATGGGAGAAAGGAAGGTTTTGAACAAGTACTATCCGCCGGATTTTGATCCGGCGAAGATTCCACGACGGAGGCAACCGCAAAATCAGCAGATGAAAGTACGCATGATGCTTCCAATGAGCATTCGCTGCAATACTTGTGGCAATTACATATATAAGGGTACAAAATTCAATTCCCGCAAAGAAGATGCAGTTGGTGAGGTGCGTGTGTGTTCTAATTTTAATTATCAGGTTTTTCATATTATGTTTATAGTTTATGCTACCTATATGTTGCCATTGAACTGAATAAAAAAATCGATGTTAATGATGTTTAGCGCTGCAAGATATCCCACAAATTTGGTTTCTTGAATCTTTTTGATATTTTCAGTTCTTAACTAAGGATTTTTGTTAGGACGATGTGAGATAATGCATTTTCTTAGTGGTAGTAGCTGTAGTTAAGCTATGCAGTTTATGCAATTTTGATTTTCTATTGGAGCACTAGCATTAATGCTTGGAATTTGTAATTCATTTGAAGCATTAACTAAAAAAAATGCTGTCAAACCTATTTAGTTGTTTCAAATTTTGATTGATAATTGTTTTACTGTTTTGATTGGGAGCATTGACCAATAATGTACTATTGAGATTTCTGGAGGTGTAAACGTTTCTTTATATCATGTGTTGATGGATTATTTTGTGAATTTTGTTTTACATTAACTGTTTACGTCTGTGCATTGTGTAAAATCTTTGAAGGATACGTATGAGTTGGATTGCTATGTATGTTCACTGTCATGTCAAGAATGTGTTTTGTAGTTATTTTCTGTTTCCTACGTAAATCATATACATTTGAGCAGTATTTTCCTTTAACACTTCCTCGTGTAATCTGCCTTAATTTTTTCAGAATGATATGTTAATCCTTGTCTTCTTCCATATATTTATTTATTCATTTATTTTTGTTCCATAAGCCCATTTCTTGCCTCTTGTTTAGATGGTAAATGCTGTTCGAACTAAATTTATCTCTAATTCTTGACTTATGTTCAATGGGTAGACCTATTTGGGTATCCAAATTTACAGGTTCTATTTTAAGTGCCCAAGATGTTCAGCTGAGATTGCCTATAAGACAGATCCACAGAACTCTGATTATACGGTTGAGTCTGGTGCGACAAGAAATTTTGAGCCTTGGCGTGCGGAGGATGAGGTAGCTATTTCTTTATGCTTCACCAATTTATTCATTTTACCTATCCTAGTATACATCTTACACACAACATATTTGATATGCGTGGGTTTTCAATATTGTCTTGTTTATGTTGTATACTTCGCTATGAGTTTTAATGAATGAATATAGGTTTAAATATTTGCTTCCTATTTTTCTTTGTACTCAGGTATTGGAGGAAGAGAAGAACAAACGGCTGGCTGAAGAGATGGGGGATGCTATGAAATCCTTGGAGAATAGAACATTGGACTCAAAGAGGGAAATGGATATCCTCGCTGCGTTGGATGAAATGAAATCCATGAAGGTTAATATTGATATAATACGTAACGTTCAACATATCACTACTTGTAAACTTGATATTGACATTTGGTATTAATATCTTAGTAACATATTTTCAATCCCTTTTCCAGTCCAGACATGCAACCGTGAGTGTAGATGCAATGCTGGAAGCTCTGCAACGTTCAAATGAAAATAAGGTAATTTAAATTGCTGATTTATATTTGTGACTTTTGGATGTGCTAATGAAATGCAATGCTAATCATATAAATGCCAATAAGCTTATATATAATATGGTAGTGAAAGGTGTGCTGTTTTCATATCTTCTGAAGTTCTCCTGGGGCTTAGTTTGTTCAATACATAAACATATTAACCTAGTTAATTTAGTTATGTCTTATTTACTGCATGTCGGAAGATCTTAATCAAATAAAAAGCAAACAATGTCAGATACGTGAGTAAATTCTATTGCTTGATCAAAAATTGGATCAGAAGTTTTGTGGGATAGATCAGATGTTTTCCAGGATGCAAGAATTATCTGAACGCCATTTTGACCAAATGATGACTGCCCTAATGGCATCGCTGCTCACCATCCCACACAGCCCATAGTGACACGAAACCCTCAGTCTCTGCCTTCGCAACATCAACAACCTGCATTGGACAACAGGAAACTGTGCCGCACACCATTGTGTCTGGGGGCACAGACCTTACACCACGTGCTTCGCTGACATTAGACACTACAGTTGGATTTCATCAACCAGCCGTACCCCCTGTTTGCACAACTTCTCCATCATTTGATGGTTCGGATCCTTTGGGTTGGATTTATCGGATAGAACAATTTTTCAAAATCAAATACAAGAGCATTAGAAAGTTCATCTAGCTATGGTGTCTATGGAAGGTAATGTTCTCGGTTTGTTCCGATTGGTACACACAAAGAGTGGTAACCTTACTTGGTTTGAGTTTACAGAAGCACTAGTGGAAATATTTGATGACAAATTTAGGGGTGGTTTGTATGAATGTGGCTTCTATTACGCAAATGCGATATTTAGAATCATATATTAAGGAGTATAGGCACTTGGCTACCCAAGTACCAAGATTGGCTGTTACGCACTTCTTGGGCTACTTTATGAGTGGCCTTACAGAAGCTTTGAGACTTAATTTGCAAGTTCGCAAACCTCGTGATTTAGACTCAGCAATGAGATTGGCTTGCCATTTGGAAATCAAACTCCATTTTTAATGGTGGGATCAGCTCCAGACCTATGCTGTACTCCTCTAGATTCTCCACCTCGAGTTATCGGCTGCCCTCAGCCCAATCCTCTAAATATCAGTCTACCATTTCCATTCCACAACCCCCATTGGCGATGGCAGTAAAGGACTTCCTTCAACAATTAAACTCCATTTCGAAGGTTGTCTCAACAAGAGTACGACGAGCTAAGACAAAAGAAACTTTATAAATGCCCGGTCAAAGAGATAAGAGTGCTAGTAATGGAAGATAATGACCTTCTGGACGTTGAATTGGAAAAAAATGACGGCGAACAAGCTGGAAGCTCATGAATGAACCTAGTAGTCAGCCGGAGCAGAAGGAAGGAGGCACTTTACCACCGTTTTCATTGGCAGGACTCACAGGGCAAACAAAACAATGAAGTTGCCAAGATGGATTGGTAATTGAATCCTGTAGAATATTATTTCATTCTATAATAAAAGAGAAAGGAAGAATACATATATATATATATATATGTATAGAGGTATTTAGAAATCTATCATTACAATTTGAATCTAACTAAATTATAGATATAGATATGGATATAGATAGATATAGATATAAATATAGATACGAATCTAACAAATTTAATACTCCCCTTCAAGTTGAAGCGTACAAGTCATACGATCCAAGCTTATTGCAGATGGACCCGGATCTAAGACCTTTAAGAGCTTTGGTAAATATGTCTGCAAGTTGATCATCTGAGAACACATATTTAGTATCTATAGATCCAGATATACACTCTCTGATAAAGTGAGAATCTATTTCAATATGTTTTGTTCGTTCATGAAATACTCGATTTGATGCAATGTGTAGTACTGTAGTGCTGTTTGATTATCACACCATAATTTCATCTTTGTCACATCAAAGAACTTGTTCACAAAGTAATTGTTTAATCCAGAAAAACTCACATGTAGTTAAGGCCATAGTGCGATGTTCAACCTCAGCACTAGAACGTGCAACCACATGTTTTTAACTTCTCCAAAATATCAATTTACCTCCAACAAACACACAATAACAAGAGGTAGAATATCTATCAATTGGAGACCATGATTTGTATTAAGTAAACCTTTTCCAGGAGACCCTTTAATATACCACAAAATATGCATAAGTGCTTTCCAATGAGAGTCACATGGAGACTGTATGAGTTGACTCACTACACTTACTACAAATGATATATCTGGTCGGGTGATAGTGAGGTAATTAAGCTTTCTAACCATTCTTCTATATCGTTCAACATCAACATCAGTCAATGGCTCTCCCTGTCTAGGAAACAACTTTGTATGTGGATCCATAGGGGAATCCATAACCTTACATTAGTTTCTTTGAGATAGGATAACACCATTCTTTCATTGGAAATGTTTGTGTAAATGCTCTGAAGGCGACATACAAGACCGGACACCCTCTGAGCAACAAAACCAGGTGGTTGCTTCATATAAATCTCTTCTTGGAGCTCACCATGCAAAAATGCATTGTTAATATCAAGTTGATGAAGGAGCCAACTACGCATTTCTTCCATAGAAAAAAAAAATACGAACATAAAATATTTTGGCAATTGGAAAGAAGGCTTTCAGATAGTCCTTTCCATACACTTGAGTAAAGCCCTTTGCAAGACGTCGAGTTTTGAGTCGATCAATGCGACCATCAGGGCCAACCCCACTTGGAATGACCCAAAGCCTCACGCCAAGAAAGATGAACAAAGATGGAGTCTTAATTAGACACAACATTACATATGGAAGGAGATAAACAATGATAACTAAGAAAATTATAAACAGAGTTAGGATTACGAGTGGATGAGTACCTAGACGTAGGACGACAAGTGACAGTGGAGTCACAACCGGGGAAGATGATGGACCGGAGATGAGTTATCAATAGGCACAAGTGATGGTGAAGTAGGTATGTTCTAACGTTGCCATTTATGCAGACTATAGACCTGAAGTGGAGGTTTAAGGATGGGGCTACTAGAATAAAAGTCATAGGTATTGAGGTCGGAGCTGATGACATTGTGAAGTATGGTGATGACTCGTGACATGGGCACTAAGATGATATCGATAAGTGAGTGGAGAATAACATCTATATATCTTTTGAATCCGAGAGTACCCAAGAAAAACACACTTAATTGATCGAGTACGTAATTTGTCCAAATCTGGAGAATGGTCATGAACATAACACATCCAACCAAATATAAGAGGTAAATGGTACAATGATACACTAGGCTGAAGACATGTAATGTAAATCTTATGACTTAGTGCAGTAGACGGAAGAAGATTAATAAGAAAAAATGCTGTAAAGATAGCATCAACCCAAAATTGAAACGGGACATTATAATGTAAAAGAAAGGTACAAACTGCTTCTACTAAATGTCGATTCTTGCGCTTAGCCACCCCATTTTGTTGTGGGGTGGAAGGGCAAGACGACTAATGAAGAATCTCTTGAAAAGACACGAATTCACTAAATGAGTGAAAAAAATATTCTCTACCGTCATCACTTCTTAAGACCTTTAGAGGTGTGGTATTGTGTACAAATTTTAGCACATAAGTTTTTGAATATAGTAAGTAACTAAGACCTTATTTTCAATAGATAAACCCAAGTACACCGACTAAAATCATCAATAAAGTAACAAAATATTGAAAACTTAGACTTGACTTAGAACGAAAAGAACGCTAAATATTGGAGTGAAGTAGTGCAAAAGTTTCAAATGCTCTATTATTGATGCATTTTGGGAAAGTAGTACGAGACTGTTTTCCAAGCTTGCATGACTCATATGGTAACAAAGACACAGATGAAAAATTAAGAAAATTACGTTTTGATTTTCATAAATTGAGATGACCTAATCGTTGATGGAATAGTTCAAAAGACTCAACAGGGGTAGTTGCAAGAGTAGAAGACAGACAAGGAGACTTATTTAAGGTAACATAGCCCATAAGACTCAAGTTCGGTATCAATCGTCCGCCCTGTGTTGCGGTCCTGAATAACAAAGGATCTACTTGTCAATAAAATAGAATTATCTAAATTTTTAGTAAGTCAACTAACATATATAAGGTTAAATGAACTATGTGGTACATAAAAGGACAGATTCAAGAGATAAATTAGGTGATAGATACACCCTACCAATAGCTAAAGGATATGTTTTATCACCATTAGCCAGAGTGACATGTGTTAGTGAGTTTGACGAATGAGAAGTAGAAAACAAATAGGGATTACCACATATGGTTGGTTGCTGTTATGGAGTTTGGTAAGGTCAAGGTCTATATTAAAAGAAGGAGAAAAACCGTAGTCACCAAGGATGATTATTATTTTATTCCTTATTATTTATCTTATTATTTTATTTACTGTTTATTTTTTTATTATGAGTCTTGGGCTTGGTCCATAAGTTCGCCTATATATAAAGCGCATCTTGGATATGTTAGGTTAGACAGCCATTATTTGGTTTTGGTTACAGAGCGAACTGGTTTTCCTCTGTGGTTCTTTATTTTCATTGATTTGAATAAAGTCATAACAATTGGTCCGATCTGCCGGATCATTTGATGGATTCATGCCCATCTCCAATCAACAGTGATTTGAGCTACTGGAATCAGCCGTTGGGGAAATATAGGAGGAGGTACGAATCCGCCAGAATCTTTCCACCAAGCTCGAGACTTTGGGAGAACATAACACGAATCAGATGGTGTCGTTATGGCAGGAGTTGCTCGCAGCGATCAAGGCAGCGCTTGGTGGCGTCAGTGCCGCCGCTGATGCCACTGTGTTAGTGGATCAACCACCGACGCAATTTCCGGCGCCCTCGGCGTCGTCGCCCCTGGCGCAGCCTTCAATCGTGCTGGATTCTCAACCGTTAAGGGGGTTGACCCCCCACCATGGCGGCTTTGCCACCCCGCTCCTCTCAGAAGTCAAACTACTACCGGTTGATGGGATGGAGCCTATTGGTTGGGTTGCTCGCGCCGAGCAACAGTTTGAACTCCACTAGGTGCAAGTTGAACTCAAGGTAGCATTAGCGCGCATTGCCATGGAATGCCCATCGCTGCACTAGTCTCGATGGCAACACTTTTGCCATCCAACCGCCACTTGGGCGGAGTTTCCCGAAGCCCTAATACTTCGTTTTGATGATTGTTATTTAGGGAGCCCTTACGAGCGCCTTGCAACACTTCGGAAAAAATGAGGAGTTGATCAATATATCAAAGAGTTCATCCAAATGGCGACACAAGTGCCAGGCTTGACGGATGAGCATTACCGCTTGACGGGTGAACATTACCTCGGGATACTTCATGGGAGGATTGCAGCAGATTATCCGCAATCGTCTAAGGACACTAGACCCCAAATGTTTAGACTCACCTATCCAGATCAGTCGCAACATTGAATATGAATTCGATGTTGGTTCTGCCACGACATATCAACAGCTTGGACAACCGCTAGGTCAGTTTCTGAGTTCGCGCCTTAGTAGTGGAACACAGATTGGGCCACCGGTAGGTCCTTATAGTCTTGGAAGTGGCATCCGGAGCAGTAGACTAGGCACAAAGAGCAGCTCCATTGGCGGACGTCCAGTGGCGTCGGATTAGTCCTCCGTGCGAGTCCCTTTTCGAAAATCGAGTTGTGAAGAGTATCGCGAGTGTCAATCTAAGCGACTTTGTTACCGCTGTAAAAAGTCTTGTACAACATTGCATAAGTGTGCCAACAAGTCCCTTCGAGCTTGTGCGGCGGACCTAGACACGAATTGGGTGGACGAGATCGAAGGGTGGACAGAAGATGAGGTCAGATACATGGAGCTCGAGCAGATGGCGGTATGGCAAGACGACAAGCTCATTCCTCAGGTATTGATACATTAGCGCGCCAATGGACAAGGATTCGACATGGGTTGATGAAGAAGAATTGCGCTTCTAGTTTCCTGTCTTCCGCCTCGAGGACAAGCGGTTTTCAAGAGGGATGAAATTGTTATGGAGTTGGGTAAGGTCAAGGTCTATATTAAAAGAAGGAGAAGAACCATAGTCACCTAGGATAATTATTATTTTATTCCTTATTATTTATCTTATTATTTTATTTACGGTTTAATTATTGATTATGAGTTTTGGGCTTGACCCATAAATCTGCCTATATATAGAGCACATCTAAGTTATGTTAGGTTAGACAATTATTATTTTAATTTTTGTTACATAACGAATTAATTTTCCTCTGTGATTCTTTATTTTCATTTATTCGAATAAAGTTTTCTTTTTGATTAATCCCAATTCATAACAGTTGCACCGGAATCTAGAACCTATAAGCAAGGTTGTCACGGCGCCCTTTTGCGGCGTGGCGTTTGTGAACCGCCATGGCGATAAAATGGCGAACACGGCGCACATGTATAAAATCTTATATATATTATATGTTATAAGAAATTAATGCGTATAATTATTAATTTTATAGTAACATGTCAAGAAAATACAAAATAAAATAAACATAAATAAATAATTTGAAATTTAAAAATAAATAATAATGTAATACCCAAAAGACTAATATTAATAGTATAATAAATAAATAATAGAACTACCAGAGCAATGAAGTAGATAATAAATTAAGAAATATAAAAAATAGTAAAAAAAAACTCCATGATGTGATGTGCGGTTATTAGCGACTAGACCAGAAGAAAGGGGAGAGAGATAAGAAGGGGAGGGGCTGCACAAAGCAGTGAATATTAGCGACTAGACCAGAAGAGAGCGAGGAGAGAGATGAGAGGGGAGAGAGAGGAGAGGGGAGAGAGAGGATGACAAGTTAAGGGTTCGGTTTCAAGGTTGATGTCGAAGCGGTTTTGAGGCTTGGGTTTGGCTTTACAAGGCTCTGGGCTAGCCTTCCCATAATTTATGAGTTCTTTTTGGGCTTGAGATATTCAAACTCCAGGTACTAGCCTCAAATTCAGCTCTGCCTATGATCCTGAGACAGATGGGCAAACCGAGGTTCTGAATCGCATTGTGGAGACATATCTTCCTTACTTTGTCTTTGCTCGTCCTCGTAAGTGGACCCATTGGCTACCTTGGGCTGAGTCTTGGCATAATGCAACACACCAAACTAGTGCTCGCATGACACCATTTGAGGTTGTCTATGGTGCCCTCTTCTAACGATTCATAAATTCTTACCAGGTGAGCGTAAAGTGGCAGTGGCCATAGTTTTGGATGAAAAAGACGAAATACTTAAGCAGCTAAAGGACAATCTTCTGCAGGCATAGCAAACAATGGTTAAATATGTTAACAAGCATAGGCGTCCGGTGAATTTTGATGTGGGAGACCTAGTTTTCCTTAAAGTTAGACCCCACCGCCAAAATTCAGTCACTACACAGGCAGGCATATCATGAACTTTCTGCCTGATTCTATGGACCATTCCGAATGGTGGAAAGGGTTGCCCAAGAGCATATCGTTTGCATCCTGTCTTTTATGTCTCCTATAGCTTCGCCGCACAGTTGGCAGTCATCTAATCAAGTCTAATCTTCCTCTTTCCTTAGAGGTTTCGGACTCCATCCATGTGCCAAACGAGATTTTGGGCACGCATGTTATTAGAGAAGAGGATAGGGAAGTTGAACAGGTTTTTGTTTGTTGGCTAGGAAAATGAGAAAAAGAGCCTTCATGGGTGGAACTGGAGGAACTCCAAAACCAGTTTCAAGGCTGTTTTGAAGGGGAAGTATCTGTTAGAGAACTGTTGAAAATCTATCAAAGGCGTAAGAAGAGGAACTAATGGGGTAATTAAGAGAGCCAGTGAATTTAGGAAATTAATTAGTAATTACATGTCCTTTAATTATGCGATTCTTCTTTCTAGTAATGGGCTTATCCCACTAGTGGCTGGATAAATAAGCTGGTTAGTCTTTGTTAAATGACACGCTTGGTCAGTGTCAAGAACTGAGCCTTAGGCTGTGTTTTTTTATTGTTTGATTTAGTTTGTTATCAGCTTTCCTACAAAACTGCAGCTAGTTTTTACAACATTATCATTGTGGAACATAATTAGATTTATGGTGAACGTTTGGGCATAGGTTTTCTTGTAAGGTACTGAAGTTTCAGATATAAGTTGTTAAGAAACCCACGACACTTATTTGAATTTAATTTGCAAACATACTAAAATTGGTTGAATTTATTTTTTAGTCAGTCTGTTTCATTAATTGCTTTCAAACCTAATGGAATCTTCTGTGTATATCTGCACTCCTTTTGACCATGGTTATTGCGCAACACGTAAAGCTATTCTAACATGGTTTACCTTTTTTTTTATATAGGAAAAGAAGTTGGTGGAAGAAGATGAAGCACTTATAAAATCAATCTTTAAGGCAACTCTCCTCTCTACTTGTTTATGTGTTTTCAGCACTGATTTTCTATGGGTGTGTTTGTTTGGAGGTTTGGATTTTGAGTTGGGATTTGAATAGTAAAAATTTTGAATTTGAATAGTTGTATGATGTGATATAAATAGGTATTGATGTGATGTTTTGAATGTAAAATTGATTTTTAGTATAATATAAAAAATAAAAAATAAGTGTTTGATTTGATGTTTTTGGGGGGAAAAAATTGGATGAATAGTGAAAAAAGAATTCAATCCCTCAAACAAACACACCCTATATTTATTTCTCGTGGCTCTTCCATTCTTCTAAATTGTGAAGTTTCCATGTGAAAACTCAGGGCCAAAAAGATACTGCAGTCATCAAAAGGATTGATGACAATAGTATAGATGGCGATGATGATGATGATTGGAATTTCGTTTCGCCTGTCAATGAGGGTACATCAACTGGTCCCTCTAAGGTACCCTTCTGCCATTTTACTTGAGCATCCTTGAGTATTTCAACTTTGAAGCTATTAAATGTGAGCTTTGAAATTGTTCAACAACAGAGATTGGTTGTATAATTTGTGAATGAAACGCATTTTGAATGGGTTTTACATGTGCTTAATATGTATATATGTGTGTGTGCGCGTGCAAAAAATATCCATAAGATCTATTTCAAAACTACTTTTTTCTCAACATTGTCAATTCTGTATAGAAAGTTTATTTCTTTCTTTCAGATGTACTCCACAGTAAAGACTGGATGTTTGTGTGTGGACTTATACATTGAAAGAGATCTGATATAGGAATAGGGTGCATCCTCAATTTATATGAGCAATCGACGGAACCTGCCTCTGCATATTCTCGCATTGCTTGAGCATGAGATGAGAACCTTCATATACATTTACAATATATATGATGTTTGTTGATTCAATCAACTAGTATTAATGATTTTAAAATGCCAGATTTATTCCTCGGGATGGACCTTAATAGTTCTGTAGTTGCTGTAAATGGTGTATGTTGTCTCACTATATATTTTGGTATAAAAGATCATTTTATGCCATATATGCAGCAATTAGGATAGTATTCTGAATTAAATTAGAATGTCATTTGGTTTATTATCTATTAACATATTAATCGGACCTAATTTTGATGCAGAAGAGGAAGGTGTCTGAAGAAAAACCCTCCAATCCAACGGATATTTTTACAAAATCCAGTGTCATTGATGACTCCAGTAATCGAGGTTTGCCCTATAGACTCCAGTCTCATCATTTCTAAAAAATTTACAGTGTGGATTGAATATATTTGTTAAAAGTTGTGTACTTTCAGACATTTTATATTACAACTACTCATCTTGAAACTGTCCATCCAAACGTCTCGGAAACTAAAAATACTTGCAATATTTTTGTTCACTTTCTTTGTCTCCATGAAAATCACTCCAAACTCGAATTCGTTGATTTATGAAGACTCTGAATGAATTTTTTATGTTTACTCCGTACATGCTAGGTGGGGATTCCGACAGTAGTAAATTTATTTTCAAGTCATCATCCGTCAGAATTTCTGTAGTGAAGAAAGCAGAACCATTAGAGAGTGAAAAACCGATCGACAGTGGATTACAATCGCTTGGGGAGCTCTATGCATCGTCCGAGGAAGATGATTGAATAGGGAGGTGAGTCAAGATCATCCCAAGGGATGTGGTGTAAAATTGATTTAAGATTTTGGTAGGTGAAACACTGCTATTTTAAGGCGACTAATTCATCATTCATTGAAAAATTTGTTCATGCTATGATCTTTCGTCGCGCAGAAAGGGCCAAATTGCAAAGATTCGGGCACTCCTTGCACTTGTAAGTGCCACCCCATCCAATTCCATATATTTATAATTATGTATATTGCTTTGGTTCTTAACTGGCTATTTTGATTTGCTAATTGGTACAAAAATGTGTTATAATTTCAGCTCTCACCATATTTCTTATCTTACTTGTTGAAGATGACATGAATTTAGGTTGTGTGTAGTTTCAGTGTTCTAGGAATAGTGGTGGGGTGTGTTTGGCTGGTTGGTGATATATATTGAATTTTGGTTTTTGGTTGAATAGTGATTTGCACGTGATATTTTGTAAAAGAGTATTGGATTTTTATATAGAATTGTAAAAATTAAAATAATTGCCAAAAGAACATACTAAAATTTTGTTCTTAGTTATTAAGAATTACAAAAGTAATATATATATATATATTTTCTTTTGGTAATTGTGATGCATTTGAATGGTTATTATTATTATTATTATTTAACAATTTATAGAAAGAAATAAATAAATATATATATATCTATATATATTGGTTAAAAATTATTACTCCACACACGCACGTTTTCGAGATCGAGTTTGGCCATAGGCCTAAGGCTAGAGCTGGGAATGGGTCGATTCGTGTTGATTTTGTGTCGGGTTGAATACTTTAAACGGATTAAATTATTCAATTCTAATTTGACCCGTTTATTATCGTGTCGGGTTCGTGTTGACCCGTTTATTATTGTTTCGGGTTCGGGTTGACTCGTGTTGATCCGTATATATAATTAAGTTAAATTTTTTTATTCAAATTAAATAGTTTTTTGTTATGTTGTCGTATTACGTTAGTTTTTATTGGTTTGAGCTTAAATTATGTTAAATTATTTAAAATTAAACTTAATTTAAATTAATTTATGAGAAAGTTATTAAATTATGATTATTTTACATATATAATAAATATATTAATCAATATTAATATATTATAATCGGGTTGTCGTGTCGGGTTCGAGTTGAGAGCCTTAATCATAACCTGATCCGTTTACTATCGTATCGGGTTCGTGTCAACCCGTATACATAATGGGGTTGAAATCTTTGACCCAAACTCAATAATTTCGTGTCGAGTTATGTCAGGTCAGTTTTTGCCGACTCTAAATAAAGCGGGAGATGCCAAACCACTGAGCTTATAATAAAATAAGGTTTTGGCAAATGTTTTGTTGTTGTATATCTAGAGTGCAATTTGTGTTAGCTATTTCAATCTGAAGTTGATGTTTTGGAATAAGGCTGTCTTTGAAAAATATTTTCAAGTTTTAATCTAGTGTATATCTTTTTTTTTTTTAATAAAAAAATTACAAAACTATTATAATTTTTTACTAAAAAGAAATGAATAATATCTTTTTATGAATATTTCTAAAAGTAAAATAATAAAATTGAATGGGAGAGAAATAACTTTTTAATGAAAAAAAACAAAAAAAAATCAGTTATTTTATATATAATTCTAAAATATACATGTATATAAAATGAAAATATGTTATATGCCCTGCCCCACTAAATAAAATTTGATAATTGTACTCATTCACAACAAAGATTTCAAATTTATGTAAGCAAAGGCCTCTAAGTCCAGTCAAAGTTTGGATTGAAATAGTTGTTTAATGTGATATAAATATGTATTGATATAATATTTTTGAATGTAAAATTAGATTTTAATATAATAAATTAAATAAAAATTAAATATTTAATTTGATATTTTTAAAAGAAAAAAAAAAGTTAGTAAAATCTCACATGTAAACAAAGCCATGGTTAAAGTAAGCCCACTAAAGACATAAAAATGTAGAGAGAAGCCCAAAAACAATTCAAGATTTGTTTAGATGAGTAAAAATAAATAAATAATTAAATACAACAAGCCCTCAGGGGTGATTTTCCTTTTGAGATTAGAGATTAATCTCTACAATGTTGATTTTGAAATTCACAGGTTAATTTTAATATTGATTAATAAAAGGTTGATTTAAACAGTTTTTTTAATATGATATTTTATATAAAAAAATAATATATTTTTATTTAAAATAAGGAACAAACTCAATCCTATTCTTTTAATTTTTTTTTATTATTTTACAAAAGTTTTGCTTTCACTGTATTATCATTTTCAATTAAACATTTTTTTAAAATAAAAATATACTTTATTTATTCGACTTAAAATATCTTTTTTAGAATTGTATAATAGATTAAAAATAATAAAATTTTATTAATTAGTAAAAATATATAATTCTTTTTTGATATTTTGTCCTTTGACCTTATATAAAAGAATAATTATATGTAAAATAATATATTTAGAATTTAAGTAAAAATTAAAAATATTTTGATATTAGTATAGAATACTTTCGAGTAGAGCATACAAATATAGTAAAAAAATACTTTAATTGTGACCAAAAAAGTTATATCCACTTTAAAGTATACATTTACTTTTGATAAGAAAATTTAAAATTATTATATAAATAATACTCCCTCCTCCGGACGGTTAAAAAAGTTACATTTGTTTCTTGCATGATGATTTTTTAATATTAATTATTATACTAAAATGTAATAAAAGAAAATAATAAAAATATTTTTATTAGTGTTTTATAATACTAATATAATACTATTTGTATAAAAAATTACATAAATATAAAAATAATTTTAATATTAAATACAATGATGTAAAAAATATATATAACTCTTAAGATAGACGGAGGGATTAGTTAGTACTTAGTAGTAGTATTTATTTGTATAAAGACATTAATATTCTTCCTAAAAAGTAAAATAATAGTATAACAACATGATTATAATTAAATATAAAAATAAAAGTATTTGTAAATTAATAATAGAAACTACTAAAAAGAAATATACAAATTTAATTGGATAGCCAAAAATAAAAATATGCAAACAATGAAATATAAAGGAATATTATAATAATAAAAGAAATAATCTTTTAATAATATTTTCACCTCCCCTAACACTAACAAAACCTCCAAATATTATAAATACTAAGGTGCGTTTTTTTACAGTGGTTCGGAGAAATTTGAGTTTGAGTTTGATTTTTATTTGAATTTTGGGATGAGTTTGAGTTTTGTTGTTTCTTTTGTTTAGATTTGGTTGGAGTTTGGAGAAATTTGAGTTTGAGTTTGATTTTTATTTGAATTTTGGAATAAGTTTCTTTTGTTTAGATTTGATTGGAGTTCGGAGAGTTTTGATATGTATTGATTCAATGGATAATGAATAAAATAATATAAATGTGTATTAAATTTAATTGATAAAATTTATATTGTATGATTTGATTATAATTGGCCCTATCTGGCCTGATGTTCAAGGGAGAGCGGGTGAATTCCGAGTACACTCTTCTCCGTAATTGGATGGAGATGTGGCTCAATTTGCTCATTTGCACCTAGACCCCGAACATATATATATATTTAAATTTTTATTTATTCATATTATACAAAATTTTATTCTCTACAAAATAACACATATATATTGTATATATTTTTTTACCCTACAATTATTATAAATATTAAATAAATATAATATTAAAAAAAATGCAGCTTTTGCTGCCATTTGCAGCAAATGTCTGCTTGGGGGAAACCGCCTGGTTTTGGGGAAAACACTGTGGAAATTTGCACAGTATTTTCCCCCAAACCAGATTTGGAGAAACAAACCCTAAAATAACACTTCTGCCTTCCCAAACTCATAAAACACAACACACAACAAACATGGTCAATCGATTAATCTTTACACTATCGCAATTTAGACAATAGATAATACATAGATGGAATATATATATATATATAGAGGAATGGTTACAGTGGCGCCGAATTTTCAAATCAGCACCTATAATATATTCAAATATCACATATTCTTATTAAACACAACACATGCGGTGTGTAATAGAGGCGTGCTGTTTGGTCAGAAGAATTATATTTATGTTGTATAAGAGTATATTATATGCTAAAATCAACTTTTGTGTGTACTGTACGTGACTATAACACGTGCTTTTGATTTATGTATTGTATTTGTATTGTATTATATTAATATAAAAAGTGCGTTGTTATTAAGTAATACAGTGTGTTGTTTGTTATTACATGGTGTGATGTTAATTCATGTGTCATATTTATATTATATTAATACAAGAGATGTGTTGACTGAAGTCAGACATTGTATACATATATACTCCCTCCGTCCAACTGAAAGATTATCATTTTCTTTTTTCGTCCGTCCTAAAACAAGGTTACCATTTTCTAATTTAGTAATTGTACTACCTACCTAACATAATAAATACCCTTCCAACTTACACTATATTACACAAATGTCATTACTTTTATATTACACAATACTAATAGGGATATTTTTGTCTTTTTCACTACAATCCATTATAATACTAATATTAAAAAATCTACATGCAAAAAATAAACTGCAACTTTGCATCGGGACGGAGGGAGTATATAAATTCAGCATTGTAGCCGCCTATATATATATATATATATATTTCATGATACTCATACTCGTACCCATACTCATTCATTAATAACTCCCAAGGAAGGTATGTAATGTAATGTAATATAATATAATGTACAGCAACAAAGAAAGTAAGAAATACCGAGGGGAAGAAGGGCAGGCTGCAATTTGGATATGACATAATTAAGAATCAATAGAACCTTACCACTTTACAGTATACTGCACCCTTTCTGCCCCTTGTTTTTTTTCTTCTTTTGCTTCGGCGGCTGAAGAACAACCTTGATTGCCGCATCGAACACACCCTTTACATTCTGTCCACAACACACATTCCTTCAATGTTAGAAAAGTCGGGCACGCTACTACAACTATTGAATTCAATTCGATTCGATTCTTTTCTTGAATAAATGACAAAGCCTCTGTTTATATAAAGACAGGTTGAAATTTTAGAATATTTTGGTAATGGTACAAATTTTGAGTATTTGATGTCATTTTTTTGTAAGAGAAAAAAATATATATATATTTGATGCGAATAGTGTCAAAAGTTTCTATGTAAACAGAGCCAAAGCTTTATATCTTATCACCTGTTGTGTCTTTGCGCTGCATTCGATGTACGCTGCTGCACCGATTGATTTCTTCAGCTCCTCGCCCTTCGAAAGGAAACAACAATCGTTGATCGATCGATCAGGTCTTCCACAAGCGATTGAAAATGATGATAATGTGTGCATGTGTGTACCTGCGCAGTCGAGATTGGTATAGTGCCAGGGCGGTCTATAAAGAACTGTTTATCCTCCCGAAGATCTGGATCGAAATATATATATATATATATACAGTTAGTTAGTCGAGTCAAAGAAACAAGGCTACATTTACTGTACTAACAGCACACGAGATATAAATTGATAGCACAAGATATATGTTAACATAATATAAATATAAATAGCGCATAACAGCAGTCTATACAACACATACTACAATTGTTAACACAATATGCATATAAAATAGAATAGATGACACATGCTAATAGGGGCAGCACAGCATGGTATACCAAAAATTGTCATACTGTATACCGTACCATAAATACCAATACCGTACCAAATCATTCAGTATATGTACGTCAATATATCAAGAATTACTGTATAAATATTTTCATACCAAATTTTCAATTATACCTTATTGATTTTTCAATATACTAGTATACCACATATCATACTGAAAATAAATATACTCCCTCTCCCTCTGTCCACAAATTAATGTCCTACTTTCTTATTTGGGACGTCCAACAATTATTGTCCTATTTCCTTTTTTTAAATACAAATTTTATATTTTTACCTCCATTCATTTATTACTTTTAATCTCTACCGTACAATTTATGGCAAATTTGTCAATTCATAACAAAAAGACAATCACCTAAAAATCGTGCAAATATACTTTAGGACAATAGAAATTGGATGGAGGGAGTATTAAAATTAACGATAGCAAAATAACTCAAAACATTCAAAAGTATTATAATTAAAAATAACAATATAAATATAATACTTATTTATTTTATTTAATAATTTTATTCTATTCAATATTTTGGTATATACAGTAATACCTATATATATCGAATATTTGTATATATCGGTATCGTGATATATAGTAAACTTTGGTATAATAACGGTATCGTGATATATAGTAAACTTTGGTATAATAACGGTATGCGCGGTATGCAAATCTTTATACCATTACTATATCGAAAATCTACAGTACAGTGTCATACCGTACCAAAATTATGATATATATTTTCGGTATATTTCATACCCTAACTATTCCCCACAGATTGACATTTGCATAGTATGAAGATAATGTGTAGAGGGATCCTAACCGAGCTTGGTTCCGACAATAATTATTGGAACTCCGGGAGCGTAATGCTTCAGCTCTGGAATCCACTGCACATCACAAGAAAAGTATTAGCATGAATTTTGTGTCATTTCTGCAGCAACAAAAGAATCGTGCCGAATTGGGGAATGGATAATCACCACACACGTATTACGATAATAATATCCTCGAATCTATCCGTGAAGAAAGATAATTGACACAAGCAAAAATGCAAGAAATGGAAAGGATGTTCAGCATTCACAATGGTAAGTTTACCTTCTTCGAAATGTTTTCGTAGCTAGCTTTGCTAATAAGGGAGAATGCAAGAATAAAGACATCGGCGCCGCGATAACTCAACGGCCTTAACCTATTGTAATCCTCCTGCCCTGCACAACAAAATGACGCCAAAAAGCTTATTAAGTAGATGTATATCAATCTAACAAATTAGCAAATCAATTTAATTTTGATTGTATATATTAAGTAATCATTCAATTTTATACAACGAAATGACAATATAAGTAGGATGTATGTATATCAACTCAAATTAACAAATTCACCTGCCGTATCCCATAGCCCTAGATTAACAGTGTTCCCGTCGACAATAACATTGGCGCTAAAATTGTCAAATACAGTCGGGACGTAATCCTATAACACAAAACAAGAGATCGAAATCAAAGAGCAGATCTTCAGTCCGACATACAGTCAATTATGTTTAACAAAAGTAAAATTAACTTCAGAAAAGGGGCAAAACAAGAAGATCAACACACCTTCCATCGAGCAGTCAAAAAAAGAATTCCATTTCGATTTAGAGAAGAACACAGTGTGATTCAAAGATAAACAGCATCGAACAAAAGTATGAGAGGAGTTTTAATTCGTCGAATACATTAAACTTGCAGTCGCATTCGATCAAACACAATCGAGCATATCCAAATGAGAGAGCATCAACAAGAACATCAAATGGCAAGATTCCAACTAATAACTAAACACAAGCAAAAATGGCAGAGCATATAATTAATTGTTGAAGATCAACGAAAGCACATCCAATTCCTTCACTTCTTCCAACTCTAATCCAAAGATAATTTCCTTCGATTAGCATATACAAACACAATCATAATCCTTAAACAGTGAAAACAATTCAGATGTGTTTAGATTCTCAAATAATTCGACATCTGAATCTCCGATTGCAACAAAGCGATTCACAAAAACCTTCGCCGCCTCACAGCATCAATTAATCGATTCAATCAAAAAACACACAAAACAGAAAGGGAAAACAATTTCAAATGAAGTAAAAATAAAAAATAAAAAACGAAAGCCTTACAGTAGGAAATGTGTTGCTGGTGTATGAAATGAGCAAGCACGTTTTACCAACAGCGCCGTCGCCGACGGTGACGCATTTTATGAACCTCGACGCACTCATCTTCCCTCTGCACCGCTAATCTGAACTTCAATTCGTTCGCGATTACAAAACTAGACTCAAAAGATCGATACCACTGGAAATCGCGGAATTCGCCAACATATCGAGTTTAACTCTGCACGAAATCAAGGTGAAACAGAAATTTGGATCACAAAAACCCTAGATCGAATAGCTAAATTGGAAAGATAGATAGATAGATCGAAAATGCAGATGCGTGCACCTAACCCAACAGCAGCATTGAGTGCGGGTTAAAAATTCAAAATCAGATGCAAAGAATTAGAGAGAGAGAGAGAGAGAGAGAGTTGAAGGTGAGTTGAATTTCCTTAAATGTACAGTCGTCGCCTTTGCTACGGATTCGGGATCTCCTCTACAGACAGGGACCGACCGGGACCGGGACCACGTTGAATTAGGGTGATTAGTCCAGGGACCTGAAGTCCAATTTTAAAGTTGTCCCTTTCATTACCCGTCTCGTTTTAATATTGGGTTTTATGTTATTGATTTGAAATTTTATTTAAATAATTATTTTAATATAATTTTTATAAAAGATATTTTATTTTTAATAAAACTTATACTAATACAAGAAAAACAAATTGCAAGATGTATGATTTTTGTTATCCATTGTCTTTTTAATAAAAGATATGATTAAATAAATACATCTTTTTATTAAAATATATATTATTATTCAATATATATATATTTTTTAATTTTAAAGCAGCTGATAATATTTTATATATTATACACAATATATAATATTACTAGCATTTAAAACTTGTGCTAAAGTGTGTTTATAATTAAAATATTTTAAAATAATAAATGAAGTATACATAATTTTATGCATAAAAATATTGTATAAATTTAAACAAATATAATAAATTTAATGTAAAAAATCTATAATAATATTACACTTATTATTTTTTAAATATTTTAATTATATAGACATGTGCATAGCATGATAAAATTATATCAAATATATATATTTATTTATAATTCATTAAATAAATATATATAGTATAATTTTTAATATTATATAAGTAAAAGTAAATAAAACATTATACATGAAACAAATAAATTATATAAATCATAAAATTCAAATAAAAGTTATTTTTTATAAAATACCAACAAATTTTAAAAATTTCAAAAATAAAAAAATAAAATAGTTATAATTATGGAGATTTTTTCAAAATATGTGCATATTTTTTCACACCGATTTACTATCATAACCTCAGACACCGGAGATTGAGCATATAGTTTTACAAATGTCGGAGTGGAACGATGAATTTGAACGTTCGGTCAGTAAATGCACTCAAATAATTTTTTAGCATTATTTTTCCATTTATCTGAAAATATAAATAAAATATAAGTAAAACATATAAAATATAGTCGTTATAGATTTGATAGACGGACTTTCAACATAAAATATATATTTGAGATATTTATGAAATAACTTGAATTTTATGACTTCGCTGCTATTGTATGTCTTTATATAAATTTGATATATAGAATTAGTTAAGAAATTTCAGATGCTATCAACATTAATTTTTTTAATACGCACAATTATTCGGAAAATATATATATATTTGTAAATAATATGATTATTTATTTTGAATAACATTAATAATATAGTGAAATATTTATTTAAAATTATATATCCAAAATTTGATATTTTCAATAAGTCTGATATTAAAAATATCATTGATCTAAATAAGACACTAATTTCTCGGCACAACATTCACCCCTAAATCTAAATAAATAGTTCAAATCAATTATGAACTTAACATTAGAAAAATGTCTATAATAAAGATAGGTGCGTTGATTCATAATTATAAGCGTGTTGTATAACAGTATATGGTGCGCTGAAATCAACTATTATTTGTGGTGTATAAGTCTATAGCATGCGCTGTTAATTCATATGTTGTATTTGTGTTGTTAGTTTATAATTACAAATGTGTTGTATAACAGTATATGATATGTTGAAATCAACTGTTGATTATATTGTATAAAACTATAACATGTGATATTAGTTCAATTGTTGTATTTGTATTATATGAATATATACGATGTGCTACCGGTAGTAATATCGCGTGTTGTCTGACAGCATATCGTGTGCTGCAGTATGCTGTCAGCACGATGCTGAATTTTAGCCGCCGCTATATATATATATATATATATATATATTCTTGAACTCAATTTCTTAGAAGTCAAATTCTTGAAACAAAAATTTGAAAATCTTTTTTAAGAATCAAATACGTATTTGAATTATAAGATTAAAAAAGTTGTCACTCTTTGTATTTTCTTAAATCTAAATATCTTCAAATTTAAAATTGCACGAATTTAAAAATAAAATTCACATGTTTGTGCTATATATATATATATTATTGAAATCAAAATTTAAAAAATAAAATAAAATAAAATTTAAGAGCAATACGTATTGAATGGGAAAAACTGTCTCTTATTATTATTATTTTTTTAAAATCTAAAAATTTTAAAATTGCTATCCACACCTTTGTGATTATATAAATTCTTGAATCTGATTTCTTAGAAGTCAAATACTTGAAACTAAAATTTAAAAATATTTTTAAGAGCCAAATACGTCTGGAAAATTTTGACTAAAAATTATCTCTCTTTTTATTTTTTACTATTCCAAAAATCCAAAAATTTTAAAATTGCAGAAATTTAAAAATTGAGACCCACACCTTTGTGCTATATATATATATATGATTACATGCAATAATGATTTATATTAATATAATATAAATACAATTGTTACCATCACAAAAATTAATAGATATGATAATTTAGAAGGAATTTGGACTTACTAAAATTTAGATCGATGTATGCATAGGTATGTCGATGAATGAATTTTTGAATGACCTCTAAAAATTTAACGGATCCGAAAATTTATGGTTTTAAATTTTACTTTTATAAAAAATATAATTTTTTTTTTCTTAAATTTCATGTTCAAAATTTTTGTTATGAGACTAATTGAGTAATATAATAAAACAAAATTCACAATAACTCAAATTATATATAATATACACCCTCTGTCCCATAAGAAGGATACTATTTTCTATTTTTGTGTTCCAAAACAAGGTATCATTTCCTAATTTAGTAAATTTAGTTAACATAATAAATATTCTTACAACTTACAATATATTACACAAATGTCATTACTTTTATATTACACCGTACTAATATGAGCATTTGTCTTTTTTTACTACAAACTAATAATATAATATTAATATTTAAAAATTTACGTGCAAAAAGAGTACTCTTATTACAGGACGGAAGAAATATATTTTTTCCACTCACAAAAATTCAATAAATCAATACATATTATTTTTTTTATCTTACCAATATAACTTTTCGTAAATAACATATATATATATATATATAAAATAAAATAAAAAAACCACATGCACCAAAAATACAAAATCAACAAACTTCTCCACTGTGATGCTACTTTTGACCTATTTTTTCACTCATTTGAAAAGTTCAGGTGGAATTTGTTTGTATTATATATATATATATATATATATAATTTCATATAATATACAATTAAATATGTTCTCTTGCCAAATTTCATATCATTTTTATTATTCATCAAAAAATTTTTATCCAGAAAATCAAATAAAATCTCTATTTTTTATTTTCTATATTACATTAAAAATTAATATTACATTTAAAATATCAAATCAACATTTATTTCACTTCAAAATTTTTAATATTCAAATTCTAAACTAAAATTCAAACCCCAAACAAACAAGCTCATGCATCTGAATGTTTTTTTTAATAAGATATTTTATTTTACATAAAAATATCAGTACTGTTTTGTTTTTTTAGGGGGGGGAGGGGGGCTCAATAAGATATTTTATTTCACATGAAATTATCAATACAGTTTTGTTTGGGGGGGCTAAATTGCACAACCCACCTGGTTTTGCCAAATCTCATATAATTCTAAAATTCTAAAATTGCATCAAACTTCTACTTAGTTTCATAAACTTTACGCTTTAACCTCTCAATAGTCTTTATTTAACAGTGTTTGACATATACACATCCAGGTTGCGAATGAATTTCAAAATCTCAATTTTTAAACTCCCAAAATTACAAATACATTCATTTATTTTATATTTAGCCTCAAAGAACAATTAAAAAACTCTTAAAATTCGAGAAAAACAACTATTTTTGAGTACATTTATTATTATTTAAGGCTAAATATAATATGAATATACTTGTAATTTTAGAGGTTTAGAAATTGAAATTTTGAAATTCATTTGCAGTTGGAGCGTGTCTAGGTCAAACACAGTTAAATAAGAACCGTTGAGAATGTTAGACACAAAGTTTATAAACCATAAAAGAGTCTAACGAAGTTTTAAAAGTTTGAAAAATTTGACGCAATTTCGTAAAATCACATGTGAATTTTGTACAAACTTGCCACTGCCCGAAAGTGCGCACTGTATAAACCCCGGTCGAACCTAATACCCTGCAAACCAGGCCCGACGAGAAAGTCACACTAATTGAACCATGTGTGGCAGGTAACCTAAGACGTCCGGGGTTCACAGTCACAAATCCAACCCTTACACCACTGGATCATCCCTCACGGGACGAGTATGTATATATTTCTTAAAATTGTATACAATAAAATTTAAAATTTATTTTACAACATAGAAAACTACCTAACACAGAATTAAACAAACCAAGCTCTTTCTATAGTTGAAGAGAAAAACATATTTAAAATAAATAAATAAATAAATAATTATAGTAGTTGCACATAACTATCATCAAGAGAGAGAGATGTCAAAATACATTTTACAAACAATAATAGCACTTCAAAGTCCATTAGCGTTGTTGGCCAACTTTTTGTTGTTATGTCTTTTTTTATATAAAAAAAAAATAGTAAATTAAATAAGTAGTATTCATTTTTATTATTTTCTCCATCACTCAATCAATCGTGTCCGCATTTAATCGGACACAAATTTTTTAAAATATAGATATTTATTTTATGATAAAAGAATTATAAAAAAAGTATTTTTTTAGTGAAAAATAAAATAAGAATAGATATAGATAAAAAAAAAGTGAGAATAAATTTAACAATTGAGTAAAATATTATATTAATTTTTTTTATTTAAATAGAATTTTTAAATTTTTTGAATTATAGAAAAAATTTGAAAATAATAATAATTAAATATTCATTGTGTTGTAAATATATATTTAATATAATATTTTCTATAAAAATATATTTTTAATTTAATGTTTAAAAATAATTTTAATTTGATATTATTAAAATCAAAAAATAGATAAACAGTAAAAATTTTGGGAAAAATCTAACTAAATACTAAAATTTTTAGTTTATATTTTAAATACTTACAATAATAATTTATTACAATATAATTCAAATTTTATATTTATTTTATTTTTAACAAATGCTTAAATAAATAATATGTCTAAGTACAGAATTTAGTTATATTAAAAATAATTCATATCTATTTTATCCATAAAATATGAAATAAATAAAAATATATCATCCTATTATAACTATCATATCAACAAAATACAAAATAATTAACTTTTTAATATTTTTTTTCTTAATTACTACATAAAAAACTTGTGATATATCGAAGCGGGGGAGAGAATATTGATTTAGGACGTGTTTCTTTAGCCCAAGTTTAGGCAATTTTACTGTGCTGTTTTTTTTTTTATATATTTTTTTAAATTATAAATATAAAAAAAATTATAATAATTATAATTGAATAAAATATATACAATATATATCATTTTGTAGAGAATAATTTTTTTATAGTACAAATAAATAAGATTTATAAATATATATGTAAATATAAAATAAACTTATACAAATTAATATACATTTATATTATTATATTTATTACCATGAAATCACTATATATCAAAATTCTCCAAACCCAACCCAGACCCAAACATAAAAGAAACACATAAATTCAAACTCACTTCAAATTTCAAATAAAAACTAAACTCAAACCCAAATTTCCCCGAAACCAAAACACACCCTTAAATTTTAAACACAAAACAAACATATTTATTATCTATTCAAACTTATTACTATTTCAAACACGCCAAAATTTTCAAAAACAAAACTTGCAGAGCGCCTCCATGACTTCATTTTACAAAGAGGAACACATATTTATTTTGGGAAAATTGAAAAAAATATCTTATATTTATACTTCATTATTATTTTTGTTCTTACTGACAAAATATATCTTATATATTTGCAAAACTTATTATTTATATCATTTGACCGTGCGTGACCGTACTTGGTGTGAACATCATGCGCGACCAAATGATAAAAATAACGACTTTTGCACTTTTCCCTCTTTATCTACATCATCAACTTCAAATCCAAATGTCTAACAACATCAAATTGCACTCTACATTACATATAACACTAACAAACTGTTGAGATATTTTAAATATTCTGTTTTAAAATAAATTTAATTGTCTTATATTTGATTTTATCCACATGTTATATTGTTTTACCGAGTTGTTACACAGTGCCTATATATAAGTTCTTATTTTGATTATGAATAATAATTCAATTTTTGAGCCCTCTACTAAATTGCTAGTCACATGGTAACTTATTTTTCTCTTTAAGGTCTTCTAATTTTGAAATCCATCTGCAATTAGTCATCCATCAAATTTATTTTTCAATTTTGCGTCCGAATTCGACCTTTAGTCGTTTGTCATGGTTTAGTATAAAGCGTACAAAGCACTGCTTCCGATTGCGTTGAGAGTCCCGTTGTTTTTCGACTCCAATGAAAGTTCTGTTGTTTCCGACTCCAGTGAGTATCCCCATTGTTTGCGACTCCGGTGAGAGTCTTGTTTTCAACTCCAATGAGAGTCCCGCCGTTTTCGATCCCAATGAAAATTCCATTTTCGACTCCATTGAGAGTTCATTTCCAACTCTAACTCAGTTGAAGACCAAAATTCCATTTTCGACTCCATTGAGAGTTCATTTCCAACTCCAACTCAGTTGAAGATACTGCTTCTAATTTTGGTGTGATTGACTATTGTGGCTGCATCATCTTTCATCTCTCTTTGCAAATTCAAGTTGACTTTTGTTACACCACTTGAGTTTGAAGAGGGATAGATTTGGTATTATCATAGGTTAGGTTGTTTTGAACTATTTAGATTTGAATTTATAAGTCTATATTATGGTGTCTATTTTGATGATAAAACCAATGCAATTTTTGAATTTCTGTAAAATATTTTTATATAATATCAAAGTCTACTTTTTTTTTTTTTTTTTGAAATATATACAACCTACTAACCATGTTTCTTCGTATAATTACTAATTTTTTTTTTTTTTGTTTCCGACGCCGTTGAGAGTTCTATTTTTTATTCCAATTCAGTTGAGAGTCGTATTTTCGATTATAATTCTGTTGATAACACGCTTCTGACTGTGTCATGGTAAATGATTGAGTTTAGAAGGAGATGTTAAATTTTAATTATTGAGTTTTAGATTAAATTTAATTATTTTAGATTTAGTTTTATTCATAGTTTAAGTAGCTATTATTTGAATTATCTAGTTTGTTATATAGTGCCTATATATAAATCTTTATTCTGGTTATAAATAATAATACAATTTTTGAATTGTCTACTAAATTTCTACTCACACAAACAAATTCCGATGAGAAGTTCAAAATGTGCAAAACATTTTTGTACTAATTAGCAAATCAAAGTAGCAAGTAAAGAGCCAACTCAATATACATAAACATATGGAATTGGATGGCACTTACAAGTGCAAGGATTGCCTGAATCCTTGCAATGTTGTCTTTTCCGCGCGACGAAAGATCGCCAACATGTACAAAATTTTCGATGGATGATGACTCAGTCGCGCCTTAAAATAGCAGTGGTTCATCATCCGAACTAGCAAAATCTAACTCGATCATTTTTAGACCAACTTCCTTGGGGTCTTGACTCTGTTCTTTTTTCGATCTCTTTGCATCAGGTTGTTGTTGAGTTGGTCGGGACCTGACAATTAGACAATCTTAGGCGAGATAGAAAAGGATACAATCATTTTGAAATTTTTATGTTTTCGAATAGAACCATTTTCAATCCGAACTTTGTTACACTTTACAAAATTTAAAAATTGTATATTATTAATGAAGATATCTATAACTATGCATGATACAAATTGAATAAACTCAAATAATAACAATATAGTCTAATAGATATAAACAAATAATAACAATATAATCTGAAATCATATAAATCTAATCTAAACTATAAGTTAAATATTAAAATATATCTAAAATATTTCAATGTCTCATCTCAAGCTTACGTGATGTAGTATAAATAATTTGAATTTGCAAAGAGAGATGGAAAATGATACAGCCAAAGTCGTCCACTAAGTTAAAGTTAAACGTAACACTCTCAATTGAACTACAATTGGAAACAAGGTTTTTTCAAAATAAAGTTAGAGACTGTTACAAAACTTGCTCACAACAAAATAAGAGTTGGAAACCAACTCACTCACAATGAAATTAGAGTTAAAAAAATTAAACTCATGCAATGAAGTTAGAATAAAAAATTATACTCGTTAACAACAAAGTTTGAATAGAAAACAAAATTCGCTCACAACAAAGTTAAGAGTAAAAAACAGGACTTTCAATGTATTTAGAATAAAAAACAAGGCTGTGAACTAAACAAAATTTGGACAAATAATTGAAGAACGAACATAAACTTAATTGAAACTGAAAAAAAAAAAATGATGAAACGAACAACTTGAAAGACCTCCCGATACACTTTGAGTTGAGAATATCCAAATAAATGTGGTTCTGATACTATATTGTATTTTGCAAAATTCCAAAGTTGTATGTTGAAAACTAATAAATAAACATGATACAAAATCAATAGACTTAAATAATAACAACCTAATCAATATAAATAAATTATATCAACCTAATTAGAAAATAGAAATATTATCTAAAAGATAAACTAAATATTAAAATATATATAAAATATGTCAACACACCTGTTAACTGCACTCTTCCTTTGCTGCTGTTGGAGACTAACTACTTCATTTGTGACTTTAGGAGTAAGTGTCCCTGAAATTTGCACCAAGTTAAGAACAAGTGAAATAATCATACGTAGAACAAGTGAGATAATCATATAACAAGTTAATAAACAACCACATACCACCAGTGATGTGGTTAAGAAATCGAATTCCTTGGGAATGTGTATTTGTTGTCACTGTGTCTGCTTTGCTGCAATCATTTGAGATTTAAGAGTTAGCAATGGCGAAAAGGATTGTAATATATGAAAAGGAAGAGAGAGGTGTCAAGTAGAGTCGATTCAGAACCAACCTCAATGCCTTTTTTAATCCATCAACAGACAATAGCTTCGCAGGCCGATTTGACTTATGCAAGTTTATTTTGTTTTCTGCAGGTTTTACCACATATATGCCTTCTGATTTGAGATAATCTCTGAAGCCAGTCTTCAAATTTCTGAGAGGTGAAATTATTCGTCATTGTCAGAAAAATATGTTCAAGCATTTACAGTTACAACATACAGCATAATCACTAGTCACCTACCCTCCTTTGAGCTCGGTCCTTGTAGAGGTATATTTCTTAGATGAATTCTGTAGAAAGACCATGAACATAACGTAATGTCATCAAGTGAATTTCAAATATGATTAACATAATGTTGATTGCCGTGTATCAGCAACTCATTACCTGCTTGTGGTAGCTGCAATACTTTCCACGCCGCCTGTGACATATAAACAGGTATTCATTATGTAAAATGATAATTATTACCAAATCAATCAAGTTTCCTTTAGCTCATTCAAGTTGGACATCTGGAAATTACTTTTTGTATACACAGCATAGATCAGTTAAGCTTTAAGGATGAACAAGGGAAAGGCGAACCGAATGTGCATAACTAATTCCATGGAGTAAATTGGCATCAAGAGATACTTTACATCTTACATCTCTTTGTAGAAAGTGAATAATGAATAATGTAAATTGACAATAGACGATGTTTTTACTTTTTGGTTAATAAAATTTACTTTTCGGAGCATAAGATAAGCCAATTCATTAAAATTACTGCGATGATGAAGAGAAAATGCAAGAACATACTTGTCAATGACTGCTGTGCAAGCACCTCCATCCTTCCCTGTTCCCTGGCAACCTCCAGCATCAGGTGAAGTACCCAGTTTTAAAATGTGCTTGGCCGAGAAGACACTTAAAGAAAATCCAAACCCCTGAAATAAAGTTGAGGGAAGAGATATAATTTATAAACCAGGAGGAATTTTAACAAAAACAGTTAAATAAAGGCCATTGAACATCCAAGGCTATATACCGAATTGTCTTTACGGACACTGCAATTGAAGAGAGCAAAGATGGTTCCGATCTTTTCTTCGCATGTCTTATAGTAAGCATCACCAAACAAGAAAACAGAAATAGTATTTTCATCTAAGCATCCAACTTTCCAGATTCCAAATGTTTTCCCAATAGAACTAGTCTTTGGGGCTCCCTTTTCTGATAAAATTCCAATAGTAGCCCAACATCCGGATAGGGTGTCACCATTTATTAAATTCCTAAATCACAGAAGATACCACCATCAACACAGTTGTGCAGTGATTGCTATATGAAGCAAGGAAGGCCACATTCAATAAACGTACTTTATTGTCGGCAGGCGAACAAATCTAATATCTGATAAATGGTTGCTCAGCTCAACTCGTGACACCACTTGGTTCCTGAAGATTCGAAGAGATAACTATCAACGAAACCAATAAAACTGACAGTAAAAGAATCATGTTATAGATTCATTAGAAAAATTTCAGCATGGCAATCCACCGTTTTTTAATGATACGGACTTGTCATTATAATATTGATTAAAAATTTACAAATTCACCAAACTAAAGTGCAACAAAATATAACAGAGCTCTTGTGCAAATTAAAATTGTATACACTTGAATGCAAATTTGATGAATCATGACATTAATTTTTGCCTGTAAGAACAAGAACAAGATAAAGAGTAAACTCACTGAATGCGAAGCCCAGAAAACTTATCAACTTCAATGTCACTAGAGCTCTTCCTCGAATTTACTTTATGAGATTTTTTGGCATCTTCAGGATCATAATCAAGACAGTCCTGCACGACATCTCGAAATACAGACATGTCCACATTCGCCCTCTGCTTTGGAAATCCATCGTCTGATGAATATCCTATAATTTTAATCCACAAACACGTTACATCAAATTCACCATTCCTTTTCCAAATACAGAATCTAACTCCCCGTAATGATAATCGATTTAGATCCCTCAAGTAATTTCCTAGTGCCTAGTAATTACAACAAAATGCCCGCGGCGAAAGTGGTACTTAAATGTATGTACCCACCTGAAGGAGAAGCAGGCGGAGTCTCGAGTACGCGATCCTCAAGCGAGAGGAGAAGATCGAGGTCATCTTGGTGATTCATTCCCGACATCGTCTTCGTCTCCGGCAGATTGCTGCGCTGTGAGAGGAACTCAAATTGAAGCTAGGGTTTTAAGCGACTTCTCCAAAATATTAGGAGGGAACCTCGACTTGGCGGTAAATAATCGAGACCGTTTATTTTCAAACAAATATTTTCAGTGGATAATCCCTACCGCTGGTTTTGCCGATCTAATTGTTTGGTCTAGAATTGCCAATCGGTTTCGAACAGGCGGTTCCAACCGCCGGTTCACCGGTTTCAAACCAGGATCCAACCGAAACCAAAACCGATTTTTACAACCGTAAACCGCCGGATCGTCGGTTCGAACCATCGTTTCAACATTTTTGTTTTGTTTTGTTTTTTTTTTTTTTAAAAAATAAATTATATTAATCTTACCGGAAAGAAAGAATGGGGAAGATGAAGAGAGATGAAGAGTAACATATTTTATTACTACAGGAATTTTATTAAAATATATGTGTTATAGGAAAAGTAATTATTGTATAGTAAAAATAATTATACATGAAAATTTAAGATAATTAAATAGTTTATTTAAAATTTAAAAAATTATAAAATTTAAAAGGTGACTAAATTTATAATTATATTTTCAAAAATAGAAAAGACAAAACATGTGGAATGGATGTAGTATAATACAATAATTCAGTTATATTAAAAATATTATATTTTTATAAACTAATCTAATATTAGTAAATATAAATAATTAGTAATGTGATTTACTAAAGTAATAATATAGTATCGATATGAATTTGTAAGTTTTTATTATATAATTATACTAGAGTATAACTCGTGTTATGCACGAATTATTTTTATATTAGATTATATATTAATTTAATAATTTTTATAAATAATACATATATATATTTTTTTATATATAAAATATATTATTTGAATCAAATCAATTTAATATAGTTTTGAAAAAATATACTATATAAAATTGCATTAATACTAATACAATTATCAAATTTAAAAAACTAATCAACTCAAATGTAATTAATTAAATTATTATATAAATTATAGATTAATCAAATATTTTTTTTAAAAAAAATATTATTCAAATGAAATTATAAAAGATGAAAAATAAATATACACATATGTTTACACAAAACACATTATATTTCAACAAAAAAATTATTTTTTTTTATTAATTATATACTTTTTCATATATAATATTATACATCTCAAATATAAAAATATAAATCAAACACAATTTTAATATTTATTTTATTTTTTATGTATTTTATTTAAAATTATTTTTTAATTTTCTAAAATAACTTTATTGTTACGTTTTAAAAAATAATGTATAAAAAAAAACAGAATATAATCATAATAAATCTATAAAATATAATAAATATAAATTATAAATTAAAATATTATTATGATAATAAAATTATTTTTATTTATATTTTTCATCAAAAATTTTCATCATTTTTGTATCTTTAAATAACAAATGAAAAAATAGAAAAATAAAATAAAATCATAGTAGTATATAAAATAATAAATACAACTAATAATAATAAAACTAATATGTAATCAAATGAACTCATAAAATATAACAAATATAATTAAAATTAGAGTAATTGTAAGTATTTTTTTTGTATTAAAATTTTTTTTTTCTATTCATCACTTTCAATTGAAAAAAAAATATTATACTATAAAAAAGAAATTATATTTAAATAAATGCATAAATATTTCAAATCAAAATTAAAAATTAAAAGTATTTTTATCAAATAGTATTGCTTTTCTTTTATATTTTTTTATCTAATTTTTTTGCAACATCTTTTTGGTTTATCTATTTAAAAAAAATACAAAAATATATATATTTTAATAAAATAATTAATAGTGATAGTATCTAATAAATTTATTAAATATAAAAATTATAAATAATTTTACCTTTTTTATCGTAATATTTATAGTGGGCAACGATCCGATAATTTTTCGGCAACACCTTAAAAAATGAATTAAAAAGTAAGATATATAGTATTAAAATTATAAATCTATATTTAACACATACGATAAATTAATAATAATAATAATAATAATAATAATAATAATAATAACATATCTACAAAGTAAAAAAAAATATATCAAAATAATAATTTTAAATCAAATCGTTTATATATATATATATGCACACACATTAATATTGTTGATTTAATATTCATTGTCTTATTGTAATTTAGTATCTTTGTACATTTTTTTTTTCAAAAATTTAAAACAATCACTTAGAAGAAAATAAAAATATTTTAAAAAAGAAATTAATAAATTAGTATACACAGTTATATACATCAAAAAAATTATTCACTTATATGTACTACTATTTATTATTAAATTATAATTTATAAAATATAATAAGAATATAAAATTATTTTATATAAAAAATAGAAACATCAAAATATAACCTTAATTCCCTAGCATCTTTTTTTTTTCTTACCCTCACATTCTCTTATTCATTTTTTTTTTCTCTTGCCGGCACGATTTCTTTCGTCTTCTTTTTTCCTTCGCAATTTTGTCCGTTTTCTTTTTTCCTTCACAATTATTTTTCTCTTATTCTCTTTTATAATATAAAAAGGCTTAAAAAAAATAATTAGCCACCGTATCATCCTTCATTTTCTTTTTTATTTTTCTTTCTTTTTATCATTCTTATTCATTTTTTTACTTTTTCTTTTCCTCTCTTTCTCTTTTTTACGAACAAGTAAATAAGAAAATTGAAGGAGAATAATATGAAACGAAGATCGCCGTTTTTCGAACTTACGTTAATCTTTGTATATATATAAATATACAAAACCCTAATGTTATCCGTAATTTTGTTATTTATTATCTCAATAAATCTGAATTTTGTTAGATTATTTGTTATTTTAACAAATTTTAATTAATTATCCAAATTTATCATCCGTCATTTTGTTTCTCATTCTTCTTTCCTTTTATCATTCTTATTCAATTTCTTACTTTTTTTTTCATCTCTTTCTCTTCTTTACGAACCCGTAAAGAAGAAAATTGAAGGAGAATAATATGAAACGAAGATCACCGTTTTTCGAACCTACGTTAATCTTTGTATATATATAAATATACAAAACCCTAATTTTATCCATTATTTTGTTATTTATTATCTCAATATATCTGAATTTTGTTAGATTATTTGTTATTTTAACAAATTTTAATTAATTATACAAATTTTAATTAGTTATTCAAATTTATATCTTTCATTTTCTTTCTCATTCTTCTTTCCTTTTATCATTCTTATTCTTTTTTTACTTTTTCGTTTTCTCCCTTTCTTTTCTTTACGGGTTCGTAAAGAAGAAAATTGAAGGAGAATAATATGAAACGAAGATCACCGTTTTTCGAACTTACGTTAATCTTTGTATATATAAATATACAAAACCCTAATTTTATCCATAATTTTGTTATTTATTATCTCAATAAATTTGAATTTGTTAGATTATTTGTTATTCCAACAAATTTTAATTAGTTATCCAAATTTATCATCCTTCATTTTCTTTCTCATTCTTCTTTCATTTTATCATTCTTATTCTTTTTTTACTTTTTCTTTTCCTCTCTTTCTCTTATTTACGAACCCGTAAAAAAGGAAATTGAAGGAGAATAATATGAAACAAACATCGCTGTTTTTCGAACTTAGGTTAATCATTGTATATATATAAATATACAAAATCCTAATTTTATCCATAATTTTGTTATTTATTATTTCAGTAAATCTGAATTTTGTTAGATTATTTGTTATCCTAACAGATTTTAATTAATTATCCAAATTTATCATTCTTTATTTTCTTTCTCATTCTTCTTTCCTTTTATCATTCTTATTCTTTTTTAACTTTTTCTTTTCCTCTCTTTTTCTTTTTTACGGGTTCGTAAAGAAGAAAATTGAAGGAGAATAATATGAAACGAAGATCGCCGTTTTTCGAACTTACGTTAATCTTTGTATATATATAAATATACAAAACCCTAATTTTATCCATAATTTTGTTATTTATTATCTCAATAAATCTGAATTTTGTTAGATTATTTGTTATTTTAACAAATTTTAATTCATTATCCAAATTTATCATCCTTCATTTTCTTTCTCATTCTTTTTTCCTTTTATCATTCTTATTCTTTTTTTACTTTTTCTTTTTCTCTCTTTCTTTTCTTTTCGGGTTTGTAAAGAAGAAAATTGAAGAAGAATAATATGAAACGAAGATCATTGTTTTTCGAACTTACGTTAATCTTTGAAAATATATAGAAATATACAAAACCCTAATTTTATCCATAATTTTGTTATTTATTATCTCAATAAATCTGAATTTTGTTAGATTATTTTTTATTCTAACAAATTTTAATTAATTATCCAAATTTATCATCCTTCATTTTCTTTCTCATTCTTCTTTCCTTTTATCATTCTTATTCTTTTTTTACTTTTTCGTTTTTTCTCTCTCTTTTTTACGGGTTCGTAAAGAAAAAAATTGAAGTAGAATAATATGAAACGAAGATCACCGTTTTTCGAACTTACGTTAATCTTTGTATATATATAAATATACAAAACTCTAATTTTATCCATAATTTTGTTACTTATTATCTCAATAAATCTGAATTTTGTTAGATTATTTGTTATTCTAACAAATTTTAATTAGTTATCCAAATTTATCATCCTTCGTTTTCCTTCTCATTCTTCTTTCCTTTTTATCATTCTTATTCTTTTTTTACTTTTTTCGTTTTCTATCTTTCTCTTCTTTACGGGTTTGTAAAGAAGAAAATTAAAGGAGAATAATATGAAACGAAGATCACTGTTTTTCGAACTTACGTTAATCTTTGTATATATATAAATATACAAAACCCTAATTTTATTCATAATTTTGTTATTTATTATCTCAATTAATCTGAATTTTGTTAGATTATTTGTTATTCTAACAAATTTTAATTAGTTATCCAAATTTATCATTGTTAATGTTCTTTGTCATTCTTCTTTCCTTTTATCATTCTTATTCATTTTTTACTTTTTCTTTTCTTCTCTTTT